CTGCCTGGAGCGTAGAAATTTATGAAAGTGTTTTGAGCCATTACCATACAGGCCTCTAACGACAGCCAAGCAATCGCCGTGGAACATGCTACGTTGTAGCTCGAATTGCTAATTTTTTGGTGACTAAGTCTTGCTGCTAATTTGTTGAAAAAAACTGTGACATTCAGGTTTGATCCATATTTAGTGAGTGATCATTATCTTACTGAAAGACATGTAATTTTGCACTGTTTATAAAATATATCTAGGCAACTAGGACCACTCATAATAAGAATTCACTCCGCCACTGGCAACTGTGCGATTGGTTGCCGAGATCTGCACGTGATTCCGGCGGCGCAGCGGCGAAATGTTGATGAGTCGCACACTTTTATAAATTTGCAGCATAAGGCTCGGTACTGGCAGAGGAAGCTATTTGCTCCGGCTTGTCGCAGCACGAGAGTGACCTTAAGCCGAGCAGAAGTTGATATGCAGAGCGGCTCAGGTGAGGCAAAAGAGATGCCAGGATAATAGTGTCGCTAGTTCAGATAATAGAGATGTGCGAGACAACCCTTCGTTCTCTGTTATGGAAATAAGAAAGATTTGTCAGTTACGGAGAATAGGGGTATTATTTCGGAAAGATATTTTCTCCTTATTCAGAGCTGTTGCCGGAATTCGTAAACATGGGTAAGCTTAATCAAAATAATTTGAAGCTATGAAGAGATATTGGTTAAAGTATGACAGAGTTTCAGAACACAAATAAAAATAAATGCATGCAATGGGAACTGCTCTAAATAAATTGAATTTTTGTTATATACGCAATGTTATCATAACTCTGTTGGTTTTGTGCTAGTGTGGTTCTGTGGTTCTATTAATCCAAACCTATTCATGTCTTGTCCAGTTTTGTCACAAATATACCCAATACCTTTTTATGAAAAAAATGAACAATATTTTGAAATGTTGTGTTTAGCTTCGCCTCGAAATCGAATGTCACGGTTGTCTCTAGTCAGTACTATCAAATAACCACGGTTCACCTTAGTGGTAATAAAAACCCTTGTTTGTCCAACCATCCTTATTTGCTATCGCTGTCAAGAAAAGCGTAACGGAAGACTTACCGATTCGTTATTTTTGTTGCACCAAAAACTTTCTAATTTGGTGAATACAATTTTAAATTAGCAACTCTCCGTGCTACATCCGTAATTAGATTTGGCTATTACTGCGACACCTTTAGTCACCTACGTTACCCTGGGCGTCAACTTTCTTGTCTGTCTGACAGACGGGCAGACGGTGATCTTTTGAGCTTTCAGTCATGAAGCCAGATGGACCCAACAACTTCCTGCTTCTTATTCTAAATTGTTCCTTGGTTTTTCCTGAGAGATGACGTTTGTCCTTTCCTCCAAAATCTACGCCATTGGGGCTTGGCGACAGCCGGGGTCCACTTTTTGTTATCTACGACCAACTAAATATTTATTAACTCATTATTCGTATTCGACCGGCGAACGGTCATCAATTCTGACACTAATTAGGACTTGTAAAATGTTTAATGTGTAAAATTTTGTATGATCGAGCCTGGCTATGCAAAAAAAAATCAAACGAAAACGGGCTTACAAGATGACCGCGCCTATTATTGTATGCACATCAAAAGTCACCTGAATTTGGCTGGAATTGAGGCCAGTCAATGGCTACCAATGTCTGGGTTACGGTCCCTTAAAGGGTTGCATTTGATCTTTGAAAGGTCGATTGGTAGGTTTATTTCGGAAGCTGAGAGAGCACAGGTACAATTAAATGATCTGGAAAAACAAGGCAGTGATTACATTCAACGTGGAAGCGAGCATTTGAAGTCGGGTGCATTCATGAATTCAAACTATCGTCTAATCATAATATCAAATTTCCCCGAAATAATTGTAAAAATCTGGTTTTATCGGTGCAAGTTGTTCAAGGGGGTGTATAAAACGTGGACGCATAGAATGGGTGCACCAATTTTTGCGGGACAATTTTTATTTGACAACAAAAAATGAGAAAAAGTTTTTTTTGAGATTGAATCGAAAATTTTGCCAGGAACGAAAAAACTTTTCATATAAGATTTTTAGGTAAAAATGTTATGGTCGAAAAACGAAGCAAGGTGAAGGTTTTGACACTTGTTGGTAATGCGACGATAATTTCACTCAACTGCTTGAAATTATTCAAATCTGTACGATTCATACTTCTAAATAACAACAACAAAATTGGAGTATATTGGTCAAGTAGTTTTTGAGAATTTCTAATTGCGTATCCCAAAACACCTGTTTTCCGGCCACCGCTACTAGTTTATTGAGCAAGGTACAGGGTAAGTTCAAAGAGCATTTAATAGCAAAATACACGTGTCACCTTGCCAATATGAATCACAAACCATTCCGAAAGATAAATGTTATTTTTATGCGAAAGGTTACGTTTTTTCTTCTAAACAATTTCAAACATTTCGTATTTGTAAGTAATTGAGCAAATGCGCTACGATATTGTAAAACATACGTTAATATACACAATTTAAAACAAAGTGTATCATCTTTTGTTGCGAATTACTTACAGTTGTTGTGAATTTGTTTAGAAGAAAAAACGAGACCCATCCTTTTTTGCCTAAAACCAACATTTATCTTCCGGGTTTGCAATTCATATCGGCAAAGTAAACTAGTGTATTTTGCTATAAAATGACCTTTGAACTAACCCTGTATATTGCTCAATAAACCAGTAGTGATAGTCGGAAAACAGGCGTTTTAGGATAAACAATTAGAAAATCTAAAAAACTACTTCACCAATCTACTCCAATTTTGTTGTGGTTATTGAAAAGTACGAATCCTACGAATTTAAAGAATTTAAAATATCTGCAAGAAACCATCGTCGCATTACCAACAAGTGGCAATACCTGTTTGATCTTTTTACGTGTGGTATCATTTTGTAGCTCTCATAAATACCTAAAAATCTTGTATGAAGAGTTTTTTCGTTACTTTAAATCCTAAAAAACACGTTTTCTCATTCTTTGTTGTCGAATAAAAAGTCTTCCCACAAAAATTGGTGTACCCATTTTATGCGTCCATGTTTTGAATACTCTCTTGAACAACTTGCAGCAATAAAAACAAACTTTACTATTATTTCGCAAACCATGGGTATTTTCGTCTAATATGGGGTTGTCCAAAACGGAAAACGGACGCAGGAAAGTAAACGCATATTAAAACAAGAAAGATTGATATTCAAATCAAGTTGGATACTTTATTTTGAAGGTTCATTTATACCATTTTTGTATGAAAAATAATGGCTGGTTTGTTGACGTAAACTTTGCTTTTCAAATATCCCCATAAAAAGAAGTCCAAGGGAGTCAAATCGCACGATCTTGGTGGCCATGGCACATTTCCTCTGCGCGAAATCACGCGATCACCGAAGAAGGACTGCAATCGATGGATATTGACGTTGGTTGTGTGGCATGTTGGAAATAAACATCGTCCATATCCATTCCTTCAAGTTGTTGCGGCAAAAAATAGTCCTCTATCATCACGTGATATCGCTCAGCATTGACGGTAACGGCCTCCCCGGCCGCATTTTCGAAAAAGTAAGGTCCGATGATGCCTTTTGACCGCAATGCACACCACACAGTCACTTTTTGAGGATGCATCGGCTGCTCTTGATACTCACAGAGATTTTCGTTCGCCCAGATGCGGCAGTTTTGCTTGTTTACCGTCCCATTCAAAGTGAAATGCGCTTCGTCGCTGAACATGATTTTCGATGAAAAATTGGCATCAATTTGGCGGTGTTCAAGGAGCCAATCTGAGAACGTTCGGCGCGAAAAATGGTCGGCTCGACGCAGCTTTTGCGTCAATTGGATCTTGTAGGCGTGTACATTCAAATCCTTGTGGAGAATGCGGAGCAAACTGGTTCTCGAAATGCCCAATTCTTGGGATCGACCCGTAGTTGATTGTTTCGGATCGTCTCTCACACTCTCCTTCACAACAGCAATATTTTCCGGTGTGCGAACGCTCCTTGGCCGGCCAGAGCCTGGCAGATTTGAAACATAACCTGTTGCCTCGAATTTACACACCAGACGACCGATGGTTGTTTCGTTTGGGCGGTTGTTACGACCGAAATGTTCACGAAGCGCGCGAAACGTGTTTTTTATTTTTGAACCATTTTTGTAGTGCTCTTGAATAACTTTAATGCGGTCCTCAATCGAATACGACTCCATAGCGATCAATGGTAAACATTCAACTAACAAAATGACATGTCGGTGACAGAAAACAAAGATGGGGTCTATGTCAAATTGACGTTCACTTTCCAGCGTCCCTATTGGACAACCCTTTATGATTACTTGTATTGACTCCACACTCGCATGTTTCTCAGTGGCAGGTGTCTCGCCAAATTAGATCAGTTGAGAATGGTATTTACTACTGGGCATCAATACGAGCCGGATTTGAACGAACGAACTAGAATTGTCATTCCTAGAAGATTTTGTGGAATACAAATTTAAAAAAATATAAAATAAACGAAAATTCCACAATGTGTGGAAACGAATTAGTAGAGAAGTGGAAGGTATTATGGAATACTGCAGGTGATTTGGAATACCTGGGTTTCTGCAAAACCACTAGCTCCATCTATCCAAAAACCTGCTGATCAGGTGGGAAAAGCGCAATTTCGGACATAAAGAAGCTAACCTGGTGATTATATAACTCAGTTTGGCAGTGACATTCGACAATACGCACATGTGCATTTGCAAAGTTTTTAAGTAAGTTTTGAATCTGCATTTATTCATCCTTTTAATAAATGGTTTTATTTGTTTTAAGTGCGTAATTAGGGAACGTACTAGGTATGTTGGTGTATATATTTTTTTATTAGGGGTTGAATTTGAAATTTTTTTTAATGTTTTTTAAAATACTGCAATGTTGCTAATTTGGACTACTACAGGTGAAGGTAATTTTTAATATTCCATAATACCTTCAATTTTTAGACTCTCAAGAAAAAAAAAGTTTTTTGTTGGCAAATAGTTTTTATATTGTTTTTTTTAGATATGCTATCTCGAAAGGCGCGTAGAATACGAAGGAAGTGGGATCCCACAGATATGACAAATGCAATTTCCGCCGTTCGTGAAAAAAGGATGGGGTACTTAAAAGCTTCGCTACACCCGCTATACCCCTATAGAACACCTAGTTGCCAAACCAATTGGACATAAACCAGTTTTTGGTAAAAATTGTGAGTCTATGCTAGTAGTTAAAAGTTACCTGCGAAAAATGTCTTACGAGGTGGCTGCAAAAAATATCATTCCAAATCCCTTTACTAATAAAGCTGTAGGCAAATATTGTCATTCGCTTAAAGGCTTTTTGCAAAGAAACAAAACTTTTACCGTGCGTAAGTCAACATGCACATCGTATGCTAGAGCTCTTGGTTTTACTTAGGAACGCATGACTGAGTTTTATGACATTCTGGACAAGGTCTATGACGAAACAAAATTTTCAGCCGATAGGATATTCAATGTCGATGATACGGGCCTGTCGATCGTACAAAGCAAACATCCGAAGATTATAGCGCGCCGAGGCAAGAAGCAAAGTGCTGCCATGACATCTGCAGAAAGGGGTTCGCTTATTACCGTTGTCGCATGTATGAGTCCTGCAGGAATATTTGTGCCCCCATTCGTTATATTCCCCAGAAAAAATATGGCAGATGCACTCATGAGGATCTATAGGTCGAGCGCATCCTTCCGGCTGGATTCAAACATATTTGTTTACAGAATAGTTTCGCCATTTCATTGACTTTACAAAACCATCAGAAAAATCACCAGTCCTATTAATCCTGGATGGTCATTACAGCCATACCAAAAATATCGACCTCATTGATCTAGCAAAACAGAATCATGTGACGTTAATATCTTTGCCTCCCCACCGCACACATAAGGTCCAGCCTTTGGACAGAGCGTTTATGAGCCCCTTAAAAAGCCATTATTCGGAAGAGGTGCGCCTATAGTAACGTGAACATAACAAACGATTAACCCAATATGACATGATGGAACTTTTTGGCCGGCTATATACGAAGTGCCAAACCCCAGAAATAGCTGCAAAGGGTTTCAGCGTGGATGGCATTTTCCCATTCAACAGGCATGCGTTCAGTGATGCAGACTATCTTGCTGCAGAAGCAGAATCCAACGAAATTGAGCCAGAGACTAAGACAGACATCTCAGTAGCAGAAGGTTCATCCACTTCATTTGAGCATGCTGGCCCATCCTCTAAAACACAAGCTGGACCCTCCTCAAATGAACAAGCAGGACCCTCCTCAAATGAACAAACTGGATCCTCCTCAAAACGTTCCTTTGAGGCAACATCAGACGGTAGCAGTGGAAAAATTATCACACCTTTTGAAAGCGCAAGTTACAGATCTGTCTCCTCAGATGACAGAATTGTTTGAGGAACCAACAGCGCCCACTGGAGAGGATGTAGAGTTTTTCTTTTGCAACGGAAAGTTCAGTTAAGATGTAAGAGGAGAAATCTGGGTTATGTGCATCATGTGTGAACAATGGGTGCACACTGAATGTGCGGGTTATAAGTGTACATTTGCAATTATTGCAAGTAATAAACTAGTTGATTTATATTTTTTATTAGTTTTCGTTCGTTTATTTGAGTTCTTTAGGTAAGTTTTAGCTCATGTAAGGTGTAAGGATAAACTGTAGATATTATGGAATACACTATTCCATAATACCTGTACGTTGCCTCGATAGGCCAAAATGCACATTTTTATTAGATTTTAAATATTTTTTGTTCTGTTCGTTAGAATGTTAAGTCCTTCTGTACTTTTTGAAAATATATGTTCCTTAACCGATTTGCTTTGTTTTCAATGTAATTGAACCTATAATTGAATTTTGACAATTTTTTAAGTTAATGGTATTCCATAATACCTTCCTTACCTCTACCTTGATGGAAATTCCATTGAAGAATTAAAAAGCAAAAAAAGAATCATTATTAGCCAGCTACAGAGGGTATCAAATAAAGTCAAGAAATCTGAAAAATTTGGTGTTGGTGTCGACGGCATGCGTCCATCATCATCGAGCACGATAACTGAATTGAGAACCCTGCAAGTGTGGACCCGAAGAAGTTCTCTCCGAGATTTTCGCTGAGATTCTTGCCGAGATTATAGGCGAGATTCTCGCATGAGTGTGGGCCGGCTTTAAGGACGAAGCTAACTTAGTAGTGAAACGTTTAATGATACGAAGGACTTAGGCACATGTGGAGCGCGTTACGCAACAAGAAACCAACAACAAGGTAATTATGATAAAACAACAAAAATGATTATTGATGCTTCATCAATGTATTCACATGACAAACCACGCTGTATGGACTTCAATAATAATATAACAGATGTTTCGCCTATCGCTAGATGTAAAAATTTAAGTTCACATAAAGTTGAAATCTCGTTTTCGCCGTTTTGTCAGTTGATCCCTTGTTACATATTATTTTGCCAAAAATAGTTCACAAACTTATTTGATCAATGTCCACGGCTCAGATGTCTTACGACTCTCTTGGAGCTTAAGCCTCTCGCCCTTATTTTGGATACGTCCATGGTAGTCACCATTAATGTCAATACGAGAACAGGGCCGAGCATCTTCTTTTTATCCTTCTGGCCGTCCGTCCCTATTTTCGAAGCGGTAACAAGCAATTTGCAAGGCTCATTAGGGCATCTGCTCTCTCTGTTCTCCTCATCCTTCCAGCGAATATCTGTCCTTTTTTTACATCCTGTCTCTCTCCGGCAATAGCTCGCTGCCAATTCGGCATTCGCAGAATTCGAAAATCGGACACATCGATGCGATGGACGTTGAAGTGTGATTCAGAGTTTTGCATAGAACATAGGCGTCGCGTTTAGAGTTACAGTAATGGACAAAAGTACGAGGCGTGTTTTTAGAGTAAGTACCTACCGTTTTTAAATTACGCCGCCTCAGCGCTGCCGTCACCGTTTAGCGCATGCGCGTCATGTGTCTACATCTGTTGGGAAGCCACAGACGCCATTACGGAACCATCCGATCGAGTTGATTTTAAAATGCCTCCACCGATTGATAATCCCGCTGACTGCGAAGTGCGTGCTGTATGTAATACGGTTTCTCTGTGCTCAAGGCTTCAAATCAGTTGACATTCATCACCAAGTCAGTCAAGTGTATGGTGCAAACATTATGAGTGATGGAATGGTGCGGAAATGGGTTAGGGCCCTTAAAGATGGCCGCGTCAGAGCTTTCAGTCGTTACCGATGACCTGATTCAAAAAGTGGACTGTAAAGTGAAAGAGTACAGACGATTCACGATTTCGTCCTTAGCTGAACAGTTTCCTTCTGTCTCAAGAAGTGTTCTTTACGAAATTGTGTTCGAACGTTTAAATTATCGGAAATTGTGTTCACGCTGGGTGCCAAAAATGTGAAGCAGTGGTTGTCTACTCAGGTGGCAAGCTTCTTTGACAATGGCATACAAAAGCTGGTACCAAGATACGATAAATGCCTCAATCGTAATGGGAATTACGTAGAAAAGTAGAGTAAAGTATGGCCTTTCAAGTGAATAAGTTATTTTTGGACAAAACTTACTTGTTGTTTTTTTATGTCAAAACGGTACTTACTTTAAAAACATATAGACAAATTAATATTGTGTTGTATTTCTTTTTTAACTTGTTTTATTAATACACTAAACCTGTATACATAATTCGTTATAGCATAATACTCGCTTATGCATAAATAAATTCTTTAGACTCCCTTCAATAAAAATTTAATTGTTAAAAACTGGAACTATGAAGGACAAAAATACATAGACAAAGCAAAACAATTACAGAAAAAAGAAGCAAAGTTCTTTGAATTATAGAAAACCAACCATGTTTGTGTTAATATTTTGTTGCATAACCATTATTATCAATCACCGCCTGGCATCGTCTCGGCATAGATTGTAGAAGTTTCTTGATATAAGATTCATCAATCTGTCTCCACTTTTGCTTTAAAGCGGCAAAAAGTTCATCCTTGTTTGAATAATTTTTATCTCTTATTTGCTTATCTAAGATTTCCAATGGGGTTTATATTGGGAGACTGTGAAGGCCATTTGAGAACTGGTATTTTTTCATCCAGAAAGAATTTCTTTGCGAGATTTGAAGTGTACTTCGGGTCATCATCTTGCTGGAAGGTTGATTTTAAAGGCATATTGTCTTCCATATAGGGTAACATGACATGCTTTAGTATGTCTGTGTATACAAACTTATCCATAATGCCATCTATTATATGTAAAGGTCCCATCCCAAACCCCGAAAAGCACCTCCAGACCATAACAGACCCGCGTCCATGTTTGACAGTGGGCAAAGTGTACTTGGGGTTAAATCTTTGTCAACTAGGACGTCTAACGTAATGAACACCATCTGATCGAAACATATTGAACTTGGATTGGTCACTGAAACATAACCTCTTCCAGTCACAGATGCTCCAATCAAGGTGCAACCGTGCAAATTGTAATCGGTCCTTACGGTTTTTCCTCGTGATTAGCGGCTTCTTACTCGGGCGACGTGCAAATAACTTCAAATCATTCAATCTTCTACTAATAGTTTTCGTAGAAAGACTGGCAATTCCTTTTGTCTCGATTTCGGCTTTTATTTGTCTTGGGGTTTTAGACGGATCTTTGGACGAAATTACTTTTATTAATCTAACTGATCTAGCATTTAGTTTTCTAGGCCGACCATTTCTCTTAGATTATATTTGTTCAATATTGCAAAAAATACTTTACGCTTCAGCTTCAAATTTTTGACATGTCGAGTTGACGTTGACCATCTTTGTATAACTCAATGATCTTCGTTATCACATCGAAAGAAATTTCTGGACCACGCTGCATGGTCTTGAGACATTTTAAAATCACTCAACTTATTCCACAATACTTGATGATCCCATAATGTTGAAAAGAATTTGTCGACATATTTTTGTCTCTCATAAAAAAGTGCTTATATTCAGACTTGTATTGTGTTTATTGCAGATAATGTAAAAACAAGGAATTTAGTTTTTCTACTAATAACGCATTTGTTTATGGAGCAATGAAG